AAACAATATTAATTAATAATTTTAAAAAAATAATATCAGAAGCACCAATTTTAACTCATTATAATCCGGGAAAACCGATAATTCTAGCTGCGGATGCGTCGCAACAGGGAATAGGATCCGTTATATCTCGTATAATTTACAACGAGGAAAAACCAATTGGAATCGCATCTCGAACATTTAATGCAGCCGAACGAAATTATAGTCAGATAGAGCGTGAAGCTTTAGCAATTATATTTGGACTAATTAAATTTAAAAAATATTTTATTGGCAAACATTTTATTATTATTACAGGTCATAAACCACTGATATCGTTACTCAATCCACATAAAAGAATAACAGATATGTCCTCAAGATTAGTAAGGTGGTCATTATTACTAGCCAATTATGATTATGAATTGCAACTGAAAGGGACAAAAAAAATAGTAATGCGGATATGCTATCCCGGTTCCCAATTGACGGTGAACCATCTACTTGGGAAGAGTTAGATATTAATTTAAATGTATCGGATGCTCCACAATTTATTTCAGAGTTAGATATAAAAGCACACACAAGAAATGACCCGGTGTGTCACGTTACATTGCAACTGGGTGGCCAAAGATAATAGAGGAAAATCTAAAACCGTTTTTCCAGCGCCGAAATGAACTAACGGTGGAAGCAGGATGTATATTATGGGGTTTAACCAAAAAAATTACAAGTAAATATTTTGTCTTTTTTAAATATGGGGCATCAGGGGTATACTAAAACAAAATTATTGGCACAAAAGAATGTTTGGTGGCCAAATATTAACGAATATATTGAATTACACGGTAGGAATTGTGAACTATGTCAGACGTATAATCCTGGAAATAAAACAATCATAGGGAAATGGCCCTCCGCAAATAAACCATGGGGGATAATTCATTTAGATTTTGCCGGACCCATTAACGGAGACATATATCTAGTAATAATAGATAGTTTTTATAAATGACTTGAAATACAAAAACTATCGACTAATAATTTTACCGAAGTAAGAAAGTTATTGTTAAGACTTTTTGCTATTTTTGGTTACCCCAATACGATTGTTATGGATAATGCCCCCCCCCCCTTTCAAAGTAGAGAATTCAGTTTATTTTGCAAAAAATTATCAATTAGAAATGTATATAGTGCGCCGTACCCTAGAACCAGTGGAGAAGCAGAGCGGCTAGTATAAACTTTAAAAAAAACATGATTATGATAAAATACAAGATTTTTTATTTAATTATCGAAATACGCCACAAATAACCACTAAACAATCACCAAGTTCAATGATGCTTAAATTTCAACCCATAGGACCTTTACAATTAATAAAACCAATTTATCCACATCCATACATACGTCAGCTACCAGGTTTAATTTAATATAAATGAGAAAATATATGCAAAAGATTTTAAGAAAGATATTGGATACCACTACCAGATATCATCGTTAAAAGAACAGGTCCAATGACATTTTTAGCTGAGACTAGATTAAGGTTATGGAGAAGACATATTAATCAGTTAAAACATAGGTTCAATGATTCCGATATTAAAAATGGAGAGGAAGGAAGAGAAAGAGAACCGATACAAATAACACCTCGAATGAATGAAAGTGATCCTATACAAAACTCTCTAGAAAAAGACATTGAGCCGATACATGACGTGATGACAAAAGATATTGATCCGATACAAGACTCAATACACAAAGATGCCATCATAAATGATAAGAGTGACATCGACACGACTGATCAAACCGTGTTAGAGAACGAATACAAGTAGCCCTTATCCAATACGAATAAGAAAACAATTTATACCGTTCCAAATCGAGGATGTAATAGATTAACTTCAAGCCATAATAAAAAGATAAAATGATATATTGTATTCAATTAAATTAATGTATTAAAAGATAAATAAATAAATGTAAAAGGACATAAAAAAACAAATAAAGATATTATTGGAATAAAATATATTATTAAATAGAATTACTACACATAGATAGTTACTAAAGAAAGGTTTTGGTACTTGTGGAACCCTAATTATGGACATGTATAGAACTGTAATGATCTTGCATTTGTGAATCCCTTAGTTACACCTAAAGAAAGGTTTTGGTACCTGTGGAAGATTAATTTTGGACATGTTTTTAGAACTGTAATTATATTGCATCTATAAATCCCTTTTAAGAAAGTAGCATTTATTAACTATAATGTAGATAATTACATCATTTTTTTACACATATACCTTTAAACTGGAATGGTTACATTTGATCTATTTTAACTTTGTTGTGTATATCAGATAGATCTAAAAGACCACATAATTTGGTTATTGAACATTTCATTCCACTCTTGATTGTATATATTTACATTATTTTGTAATTTATAAGTTTACACAATTAGATACATAGAATATCTTTATTCTTTATAAGGATTAAAAGACATGCAATTTTATATTGAAAATTTTTTATTTCACTCAGTAAGTATAAAATAACCAAAATTAGATTTATTATAATATTCTACACTTAATTATAAGTTTACTTACACATACACCTTCTAAACTGGAATGGTTACATTTGATCTCTTTTAATTTGTTGAGTATATCAGATCCAAAGTTAAGTGAAGGATCACACAATTATATATATTGAATTCCTTATTCTTGTAAATATAAGAATCAAAAGATCACACAATTAGGTTATTGAACATTTCATTCCACTCTTGATTGTATATATCTACATCCTTTTGCAATTTATAAGAGCAAAGGATCATCCAATTTTATACTAAATATTTATATCCCACTCAATTCCCTTTGAAGCTGAAATGGTTACATTAAATTGAACATAGACTATGATTACTGTACTGTATGGGTTGAATCATTAATAAAAAAATAACACTTTATCTACTGTTCAGGCAAATTTTTATTTTAATCATATTTATTTAATTCTATGAACATTAAATCTCAATATCAATAGTGATAGTATTCATCAAAACTTACTAAAGAATTTAAACTTAAAATCGCGCCATCACCCACCTTTAAAGTAATTAAATTATACTGTAGTTCTCGGGTATAGGTTCTTTTTTTACCCCACTCCTTTTTACTAAGCCTATAGAGGTTTAAGCAACTTTTTTCGAAATTTTGCGCCTACAAGTACGTGCGGCTTGCCCACAAACTTGTGAAGGGCTCCTCATTTTTCTTCCCATAATTATCCAGTTTATGGATTTTGAGGAAAACTTAGCGTAGCTCTGTTGTACCCACAACCAGAGGGCGAAAACGCTTTTATCACGTATATTATAGAATTCATTTTTGAAAAAATACAATCGATTTGGATATTCGAAGAATCAAAATAGAAATAAATTATTCGAATCATATTTTTGTAGGTATAAATGTGACTATAAAAAATTTTCAATTAATATTCTTAATATATTTCGAAAAATTAGCCCATTTAATCTATTTTCTGAGATATCACTTCCAATATATTTCCACTTTTTAAAGAAGAATGTTCTTTCATTTGTGCAAGTAAAAATATATAATTTATTTAAAAAACCGCTTGATAAATTAAGAACCTTTTATTTATTTGGCAAAAGAATTTCCATTTCTTAGATAACTAATTATTTAAGATTTAATTTTGGCTAGAACCTTAATTTTGTTGATTTTTAAAATAGCTGAATGTATTATACAACGCTAAAAAAAACTTAATGCTAACGACGAGGTATGTGAATATCAAATTTATAAACTGCTTTGAACTCAACAATCAACAAAATTTCCTACTATTTTTATGGTGGCATAATTACCATTTTTTTTAAAAGATTGCATAAAATATTGGTATAATTATTTAATGTTGACAACACATTCTTCTGCAAAGGTAAATTTGGTTCTCTCATCAAGTATAGTAGAAGAGATATCTTATTCAAGAAGTTTTCCCCAGAACTGTGAACCCTCCTCTTCCGGTTTAGTGAAATACCTCTGAACCAGGTTCGGCTTCATGGTTCAGTAAATAAAAGTCCTATAAAATTTATTAAAAAGTAACACAAATATTATCTTACCATAAAAATAATTTATCATTATAATTAGAATATAAGCGAATTATCAAGATATCTTTTAAAGTCAAAATTTTTTTATCCCTAACTTTGACAATGCATTGCAACTTGCATTTAATAGTTATTTTACCTTGCGTTTATGTTCTTTTTTTTGGTCTTGCATTTAATTTAATAATCCAACAAACAAAATAAATATTTACAAATATTATTACATTATCTATTAAGTTACAAAATATCCTGGTTAAATTGCATAAAATGTAGTACTCTAAAATATAAAAAAAAAGAATTCCACGCAAAATAATTTTAGAATAAAAATAAGTTGTGTTTTATGTTTTAAATAATTTACATATTTTTTTTATATTTTAATATAGTTTTATTTCTATATTATTTTGAATATATTCTTTAAAATATATAAAAATTTCATATTTAAAAAAAGTTATTTGAACCATGGAACCCTAATTTTATAATAGGGTTCAGTAAAATATTGAGGGTTTGAAGTAGTGTTGTTAAAAGGCTAGTTTTGAGTCGATTTTTAAAAACGGCTAACTCAATATTTTATCCAGAAAAATATTACGTAAGTCTGAAGATTTTGCACATAGAAGGAACAAAGGTCTAGACATATATTTTCGAAATCTCGAAGCTTAGGCAAATTTTTCTGGTTAAAATATTGAGTTAGCTGTTAATCTCAAAACAAGCTGTTTAATAATACTAGTTTGAAGGGTTTTGATTCACAGCCCGGGTTATTCATACCAGATCACTTAAATATTTTTATTTTAAAAAATAGTGATTAGTTGAAAGTGAAGGTAAAAAAAAAATATTTAATAATATGCATTTTTTTGGCTTTGAGATCATCTATCTTATTTATTAAGAAAAATCAAATCTATATTAGTTACTTCATACGACATTGATTAAGATTTCTATTAAACTACAAAATGAAATAAAAATCTATATATATAATAATATATTTAAGAAAAATATTATTCAAAATATAAATACCATTTTACAAATATTTTCTTTCTAATGTTAAAATTGAAACAATATATAAATTTTATTTTTCCATTGTCATTGATTAATATTTAATCGGGCCTGATGAATTCTTTCTGATGCTGATTCTTGAAGTATCAATTCAGTTGTTGTCTCTCTGTGAGGAAATCAATTTTCGTTTCCTTTTAATGTGTTTTACAGGTCACATAAGTAATGTATTGCATATAAACTGAAACCTTTAAATTTGATATTTTAGTCTATATAAACATTTTTAAAAAAATTTACAAAATAACATGACTTATTTGTATTATACTTATACAAAATTTTAAAGAAATTATGGAGTGATTGAATGAGTGATGCGTGTCTTTAAAAATGGATAGATTTAAATAGTAAAATGAATTTTACAAACTTAGTCTGGGCATTAAAGTTGAGTGTTTTCATGTTAGTTTTAAAAAAAAATTTCCTTGTTTTAAATAAGAACTATTTTTAAAAATATCCTTAACAGATTCTTTGTTATCTACATCTAGTTTTGCTGAAATCTAGCAAATAAAATTTAGATAGAAACCAAGCACATATAATTTATGAGCCGTAATAAATCGAATGTTAAAAGTAACCCAAAAATTATAAATTTTGCTAAAACTTACTTTCATATTTTATAAAATGGATAAATAAAAAATTATATTAAAATTTATTTCTAAGTTACATTCATCTATAAATTTGGCGTAGAAGCTGTTTAAAAAATTTTATTAACAAACAATATTTATGCTAAATTTGGGCAATAAAAATCAAGATTTTGGCAAGCAATAAATTTTTTATTGATCAATATTCACTTATAATGGGAACTGGATTTTCTATTTCTCTTGCCAAGGTATAATTTGGTGTATTCACAAATGATGTGTAGTATTGTTATTTTATTCCCAAAAAGTTAATCATTCTCTTTAAAAATATGGCCAATTATGACTTAATGTAACTTGTTAAACATTTTAAAATCTTTTACTTGTTGCTAGTGTAGTTAAATGGCTCAATTTGACCCAATTTTTAAAAACGACTAACTCAATATTTTATCCAGAAAAATATTATGCAAGCCTAAAGATTTTGCTCTTAGGTGGCACATAAAACAAACATCTATTGGCAAAATCTTGACGCTTAAGCAATATTTTCCTGGTTATAATGCTGAGTTAGCCGTTTTTAAAAATCTGATCAAATCGAGCCGTTTAATAACAACAACACTACTTGTTGCTAATAATAACAAAAAAATAATATATTTCATAATTGTGCCAAATTTGGAGAGATAATAATTAGTGACCTGCATCAAGCCAATTATGCAGCCTCACCCCAAAAATTTTTTAAAAATTTGCCTGGCGCAAGTGTGATCCTGAACAAAAATTTCTTAATTCATATCAAAAAGCCTTTACAAAGAAATTATTTGTCCACCCAACCTGGCCTGATTATATTTAAATATAAATATTCATATTTTGTAAACACAACAAAAACCTGTAATGGATTAAATTATTGTTTTTTTTAAAAAAATTTGAAATTTTAAACATTCCAATTAAATGAATTTTTGGCTCTAAGAACAATGTTATTAAGTTGTATCAGTGTTTTTTGAAAAAATAGGCTCAATCTCTTTAAAAAATTATTGGCCCAGTGCAACTCAGCATTTAATATCGAGTTAGCCCTAAAAAAAAATGATATTTATAAATAAACAAAATTTTCCCACTAACTTTCAGATAATCTAGAATCTAATGATTCAAAATGTGTATAGTGAATGAATACACACATCAAATGAGCAAAAAAAATGAGATTTTCGGCCGACCCCTTTCGATTTTTTTAAAATTTGGTAAGCAAAGAAAGGTCAATGTAATTAAGAAATAGCCAAAATTTTAGCCTCCTAACATTTATATTTTTGAAGATATTAGGGTTCAAATCATTCAATTAAGCATATCTTAAAAACTACTTAATTGTAAATAACGAATTTAATATCAAAATTACGTACAAAGATTCTACTTTTAGATAAAAAAAAATTTATTTTTTTTACCAATTACCGGCCATTTTATTTAATATATAAGGACTAAAAACGATTTTTTGGAAATAATACGACCTTCAATTTTTAAAAAAAATTTAGTAGACATTATTAAACTCTTTCTTTACATTTATATAAAAAAATTGGTTTGGGACGTGGCCATCTTCATTCTCAAAATCGATAAAAATGTTTAGAAAAGTGTATAAATATTTTCCCGAAAAGCGGCGTCTTTGTATAAAATTATATATTAATCAGTTTTTAATGGTTTTTCTTGGACTATTTGATATAATTTAAAGGATTATTCATCTTGCAAGTGAAAATAACAATAAATGGGGCTTTCGTTCAATTATAGAAATTGTATATCGATAAAAGTATAGCATATATTTAATGAATATTAATAAAATATATTTAACCAAGTTTATAGTTTTTGAATATATGAATCAGAATCTTGTGCATTTCATAGACGCCAAAAAATAATATTAAAATTTTCTCTACTCAATTTTTTAAAATAATTTGATATTTTTAAAATATTACAAATATTAATTTATTATTATTATATACAAAATAAAAGTATTATCATAAAATAACCCAAAACAATACAAATATTGGATCGGATTTTCTAAAATCGGCATAGCCTTACTAAATTAGAATAACAAGTGTTTCAATCAATAAAATAAATAAAAATTTTAAAATTGATTAATCCAATAATACATGCTCACTATATTAATTCATTTTTTAATTAATTTATTGGTATTTTGATTTCTATCAACACCTAACCCCAAGCCTGGAAAAACTATAGACGAATATACAGTTAAAATTGTACAAGAATTTTATTGTATGAACGAAATAAGCAGAATCATGCCAGGCAAGAAAGATTGCGTTTCGATTTTGACCAAAGACGGAAAAAAGAATACCATTCATAAGAGATTAATTTTAGATAATTTCAAAGAAATTCATATATTTTTTAAAGAAATGAGGCCTGATGTTAAAATTGGTTTTTCGAAATTTGCAAGCATTCGCCCAAAAATTGTATACTCGTTGGAGGTAGTGGTACACATGTATGTGATTGCAGCTACCACCAAAATTTTAAATTAATGATCATTGGATCAAATTTACCCAATGATATGTTGCCCTTTAAAACATACAAACATATTTTACACTTAATAATTTGTAATTCGCCTCAACCATCCAGTTTATATGGGCAAAGATAATTGTCCAGGGTCAACACATTTACGCGATCAAATAGAAATATTGTTTCTTTCTAAGGACATCGAATTTATAACATACAAACAATGGCTATCCGTAGATAGAACCACTCTTGAAACAATAACCAAACCAGTAGGTGAATTTATCAATGCCTTTTTTGAAAAAATGGAATCTTTATTACTCCATTTTTTTATTTCAACGCAACAATCGTTGTATCAAAACAATCTAAAATTGAACTTAGACGAAGACCAATATTTAATTTTATGTGATTTTTAAAAAAACTATAGCTTTATACTTCAGGATGAAGTACAAAATTATCATTGGAATAGGGCTCAATCCACTGCTCACCCTTTTATTATATATAATAAAGATAATTTTGCCAATATTTGTTGCCTAAATTATGTAATGATATCCGAATCTTTGCAACACAATACAATAGCAGTACATAATTTCAAAAAAACATTAGTAAATTTTTTAATTAATAAAATTTGTAGGCCAAATAAAATTTTATTTTTCCGATGATAAAAATCGTAAAAATTTTATTAATATTTGCCATCATGAGATGGAATTCGGGGTACAGGCGAAATGGCATTTTTCTGCTATAGCACACAGGAAAAGTGTTTGTGATGGGATTGGTGGCACTGTTAAAAGATTAGCCGCTAGAGCTAGTTTACAAGGCCTTACTTAAAGTAAATAACCACATCATATGAAATGTACGAGTTAATAAAGAAAATATTAATGTCATATATTTTGAATAGATGACCAAAATAAATTATGATTACGAAGATATATTACTCAGGAAAAGATTTTCATAAACTAGATCTATACCTGGAACACACAAAATACACACCTTGATTCCAACAGATCTACACTACATCAATTTAAAAGTAAAATGTATTTCAATTCAATAGAAAGTACTATAGAATAGTTATCATATAATGACGAAAGTATAATTATTAAAGAAATATCAGGATACCTAACGTATCCTTATGATTCTAATTGGTGGTTAACTTTGTTTTAGTGAAAAATTAAAAGCAGGAAGAAATATATATAAAGTTTTTAACCCATCCAGACCTTCTAATTCCTTTACATTTCCAAGTATAGAAAACACTCTTTACTTGCCCAAATGTCATATCTTAACATTAGTTTCACTGTTAACTGCTACTGGCCGTAGTTATACATTGTTGTCACAAGAAAGTATTTTATACAAAGACGCTCCCTTTTGGGACAATATTTATACACTTTTCTAAACATTTTTATTGATTTTGAGAATGAAGATGGCCACATCCCAGATTAATTTTTTTTATAAGGAAGAGTTTAATAATGTCTACTAAATTTTTAAAAAAAATTGAAGGTCGTATTATTCCCAAAAAATTGTTTTTAGTCCTTATATATTAACTAAAAGTAGAATCTTTGTACATAATTTTGATATTAAATTTGTTATTTACAAATATGTAGTTTTTAAGATATGCTTAATTGAATGAAGGCAGATAATGGTAAAAATAAGTCATTTTTGCCACTTTGAACCCTAATATCTCCAAAAATATAAATGATACGAGGTTAAAATTTTGGCTATTTCTTAACTACGCTAATCTTTCTTTGCTTACCAGATTTTAAAAAAATCGAAGGGGGTTAGCCAAATTGTGGTTGATTTGTCATGGAATGACCCAGTAGTGTTGTTAAATGTATTAATTTGAGCCAATTTTTAATAATGGCTAACTAATATTTTAGCCAAAAAAAATAGTGTAAGCCTGAAGATTTTGCTTATAGATGGCACAAAGGTTTGGACATATTATTATAATTATATTATTGAAAATTGATTTTAAAATATCATTTAGCTCAAGAAATTTTGATGTGAAGAAATTGATTAATGAAAAGGGAAAATCAAAACCAATTTTGCAAAGCTTAAAAGATGAAACCAAACTTGCATTCACAATTTTTTGAATGAATAAATATGATAAATATGGCACTGGATGAATAATCTATCTATTATTCCCAATAGAAAATATGTTTAGAATGATAAATGATTTTTGGATATGATATTACAAATATAAAAATAATAATTGATTCACTATAAACTTTATGATTCGTCAATGATGTTTTATGATACTATGCAAGGAAAAATAACAATGGACAAAAATGATATGTATTATTTTTATTTAAAATATATATTAGATGATTAAATATATCTAAATGATCAAGCAATAAATGGATTTTCGATTTAAAACAAAGATTGAGGTGAATGATCCATTAGATTGACATGGTTGATAATGTGCTAAAGTGGTATGGTAAGATATTATGAAGTGGTATTTTATAAATATAATATTTACTTCAATTTAATCATTTGAAGCAATATTCAAGTTCTTTGAGATTAAGGGTTTCCTATAATGATTTTAAAATATATTTCATTAAAAATTATCAAATAACCTCCATATGAAAAGGAATCTATAAATGAATGTGTATTCGATTTTGTAGAAGATAATAACCCACCATTTAATGAATTAGCATTACTCTGGTGTTCATTTTGGTTAGAATAAATAAATTTTGAAAAATCATTAATCATATTAGAAGGGATGTCATTCTCCATATTCAAATTATTAGAATTGTTTGTAGCATTATTTAATAAATTTAACAAAGAAGTTAACACAGAAACTTTATTATTATTAATGTTAGTGTTTTGTAATTCTTTTGAAACTAAATTTAGTATCCCAGAAGCAATTATGGCTAAAAGTCCATGTTTATGTAAAGTTTGCAAAGCTAATTCTATTTCCCTTAATGAAATTTTATCAAATCCTATTTGAGAAAAAGTATTAAGTAAATTGTTTATCATAGGCGTATTCATATTTGAAACTAGGTTTATATTCAATAATGGTTGTTTATTCTGATTAAGTAAAGCACTCATCACCATCAAGTTATTGTTTGAGGGTGCATTACCCATCAATGAATTACCATTATTTGATGTATTTTTCTTTGAAAATGTATTGTCATATTTTAAGTTTAACAATGGAATAGAATTAGAAGAATCATCCTCCATTTTATCTAACACAAAGCCTAATGCTTTTTCCATTTGATCCTGATTTCCACTAATTGTCAGTATTCTTTCAATTGAATCATGTGATTTGCCATCATTGCCAGTTCTATGCGATATTTCTATGTGAGCTTTTGATTCTTTTTTGATTAGGTTAATATTTGTTCCATTTTTCCCAATTATCATTCCAGCTAATGTATTTGGCACAAGTACTCTAACCTTAAAGAATTGATAAAAAGAACTATTATAAGTTTACTTGTTCTTCAGGAGCCTTTTTCTCTTCAGATATTTTATGAAGCATTATATCAAATGCACCTAATATGCCTTCTCTATCACCAGATATCAAACAAACCCTTTCTTGTGTGCCTATTTTTCAATTAATTATATTTTTCTATAATATCATATATAACCAGGGAAATATTCTTTATTTTTAGACATTTTAATTTTTGTATTCGTTTGCTTTTGTATAGATGAGACAGTGTCCCCTGATTTCCCAATAATGGCACCAGCTGTATTTGTGTGAATAAGAATTTTTAAATGCAAATGGCCCCTTTCTATATAATTTATATAATAAAAAATAAGTAGGCAATAAAACTCCTATTAGAACGCTTTGGAGGTTGATATGAATCTTCAGTATCGTCAAAGGATCTTTTCTTACAATCATTACCTGAATTTAATGTGGGGTCATCCATTTTATTTTTAGAACACTGAATTAAAATCGGAAAATATTGAATAGATTAGTTTTGGCAAAAGATTGACATTTTGTAGACACTTAATAAGTCAAATTTGCCACAATGATATGTCTACTGATAATGGTTGATGTTAAATAATTGACATGTGTGCCAGTAATCATATGTTTTATATTATCTTTTTTTAAATTATTGTTAATTATCGTCATGTCATGAATGGTATATTTATATTAATAACATCAGGCGCGTACGCAGGAATTTGGTTTGGGGGGGGGGGGGGGGGGGGGGGATTATTGAGAAATATTTTGTTATTTATAAATACTGTGTTAATCGAGATTTTTATTTAACTTTAATTGTTTTTATAGCCTTTAACTATATATTTCGTTTAAATTGTTTTTTTTTATAATACATATATATATATTGGAATTTTGTAATATAAAATTTATTTGATATAAAGGACACACAAAATTATGATACTGGAATCGTACCAAATGATGATCAAATGTGATGAATCAACTGGGAAGGAGAATTGTTAAACTTAATAACAAACTAGACGAATCTAATATGGATAATGGAGTTGTTATAAATGGAAACGATTATTAAAATTTGGTATATTAACTTACTAGAACCATTATGATAGTTGGTCAACAGGCTATAAATTCTATAGAGTAAAACCAATGACATTTTTCAAAATATTCTTAATCCACGTAAAAAAAGAGAAGTTATTAAAGAGTTGTATAAAATAACTTAATAAATTAAATATAAATCAGTCATAATGAACATATATAAATACTTAGATAACCTTAAAAAATATTTGCTTAATAATGAATTAACAGTTAATTTTGAAATTTCTTGATGACCTATTGATATTTTTCGTATTTTTGATTTCTGGGATTATGACCAATTATGGGAATTAACATTGCCTAAAGATGAATTTTTAGGTATAATTAAAAAATATTATGTAGATAGGCCATTTTTAATTCAATTACCGGATCATTAAAAATATCATATTGACAAAATTCAGTCTAAAAAAATTATAATACTAGTGACATAGGTTATTATAATAATAATAGAAATAATTATAACAAAAGAATTTATAATAATTATAAACTTAATGAGCATTTTAAAAAAAACTTTGGACGAAACTTTGTTAAAAGATATGATATTAATTGTAATAAAAATTGCAATAATAATAATTTTAGATATTATGTAATTGTAGAGACTACAGAAATTATAAAACTAATAGCTTTAGAGGTCATAACTGTGAATCCCAAGAAAAGAAAAATGTTATAAAAATTTTAATAAATCTAATAAGAATTATTATGAAAATAGAAAATTAGACAATAAATATGAAAAATATGACAAAGAAACAAATTATAATAAAAGAAATTATTATTGTAATTGTAAATCTCTTAATAACAAAAAATTGAAAAATATTGAATTATTCAAAATGAAAGAGATTCTTATAAACTAAAAAAGATAAATTTTATAATAAAATTTGAAACATTTGTTATTATAGAAAATAAGGAAATAAACATTAAAGAAAATAATGAAATAAAAACTTTTATAATTGATAAAAAATTTTGAAAAACTGTGAAAATAAAGAAATTTCAAACAATTATTATTAAGAGAGGCAAGGTGATAGTTAAACATCTTGATGATAAAAAAGTTTTTTAATAATATGATATGGAAATCATATATTAGAAATGGGAAGCAAAATAAAATTCTTTTTAGAAAGAACAATTTAAAGATAATTTATGATATGAAAAAGTTGTTTATATTGAAAAATAAGGGAGTAAAATTTAAAATTTAAAAAATAAAAATAATTGAAATTTAATATTAATAAAAAATTATTATATAAAACGCTACAATTAAATATATTTTAAAAAAAAAGATAAAATTGAATAATATAAATAAAAATTATTATATAAAACGCTATTATTTAAAAAGCAATATTTATAATATAATAAAAAAAATAAAAATAACGCGACCAATTATTTATTTCATTCCAAATATTCAATATTTGATAAATTTATTCAATTATTCTTAATCAAATTCGTTATCCGTTAAATTAATTTTATTTCGTTTACTCGACGAATCTTATTCTATTACGTTTACTCGACGAATCTTATTCTATTACGACGTTATTCAATAATATCTACATTCTAAAATCATTCAAAATCTTCATATATATTTAATAAATAATGAACAAAAATCAATAATATATAATAAATGTGGGCGATTGTTAACTACGGAAGATTGAATGTTAAGAATATATCATCAATTGTAGAATCCGTGAAAATTAGGAATATTAATAATTAAGTATACACATATTGGATCTAAAAATAGTCACTCCAGGCCACCAAAAATATCTTTCCATCGTTAACATCCTAAGCAACTCAATAAGAACCTCATGTAGCACCTTAAGAAAATATTTTCTTAGACTATGAGGAACAACAATTTGTTCTCTCTTAAAAATAAAATCATTCTTAATGTTTAACAATTTTATCAACACCTTATAACTTTTAATCTGCGAATGATCTCCATCTCCATTCAAAACGAATTTCTTAACTTTTGTTAATTCAGTATCTACCAAAGTTTCTTTTTTTATCAGATCTAAATTATTGATTATTATTACATCTTTCTCAAAATCATCAACACTAAAAAAACACACTACATCTTTATCATTTAGCCTTGATAACCCAAGGAATAATCTGATCTTTAACCCTCCTATAATAAATGTCAAAATCAAATCCAGCTAAACAAAAGGCCCATTTTTGTAACCTTGGAGACATATTGTATAGTTTAACTGGATCTGATCCAAACAAATTAACAAGAGGTTTATGATCATTAAAAATCTTAACTTTTCTTCCCACTGCATATTCCCTCCATTTCTTAACAGCTAAAACAATAGATAATCCTTCTTTCTCAATATAACCTTTTTCAGCACCAGCCCAAGCTTTGGACATAAATTCAATTGGTCTTTCATGACCATCTTCTTCTACATGAAATAAGACTGCACCCATGCCTTTATTTGAAGCATCAATAGAAATAAAAAAATTCTTATTTCTATCATAATGCGCAAGAACTGATGCTACACAATCTTTCTCTAATCTCGTAAAAACTAGCTTTTTCATTAACTCCCCAGTGAAAATTTTTACCCTTTATAAGCAATTCATATAAATTAGTTGCTAATTTCGAAAAACCTCTTATAAATCTCGAATAATAAATCATAAGACCCAGCCAAGAATGTAATTCTTCCTTATTATTAAATTCAGTCATGGTACTTATCGGATAAATTTTTTCTTTGATTGGCTGTATCCCTTTGTCACTTATTAAGTAACCTAAATATCTAATACTATCTTTGCTAAATTCACTTTTTTTAATATTTCCAATCAAACCATATTCCAACATTCTTATAAACACTTTTCTTAATTTGTTAAAATGATCTTCTTTATCCTTACCAAAAATTAGCAAATCATCTAAATTATAAATAACGCCGTTAATGTCAGAAAAAATTTCGTCCATGGTCTTTTGAAAATAAGCAGTTGATACTGTTAGACCAAAAGGTAACCTGTTAAATTGAAAAAGACCTTTGTGGGTTGAAATGGTTAAAATTTTGGAAGTTTCTTTAGAAACAGGATCGCAAATATGCCGAGGAAAAATCTATTTCCGAGAATATTTTCCCAATTCCTACTTTAGCAATTATGTCACTTATCCTTGGAAGAGTATATTCAAACCTTTCTAATTGTGGATTTAAGGTTACTATAAAATCAGCACAAACTCTCAACGCATTATCTTTCTTTTTAACCAAAACTAAAGGAGTGGCTCATTGAGAAAATCTCACAGGGGTTATTATACCCTTTTGACGCCATTGTTTTAATGTAACCTCTAATTCTTCTTCTAATTCAAAAGGAACTCTCCTAGCCTTTAAAAATCTTGGTTTAAAATCATCCTTTAACAAAATATCTATTTGTAAATTTTTAACTTTGCCAATTTTGCTGTTAAAAATACAATTAAAACTTTTAATTAATCTATTAATATCAAAACTCGCTTTAACACACCCTTCTTCAGTAAATGACTGAATAAAGATTTTATATTTATAAAATTTATCATTATTATTACAAGGATTGTCAAACGTAATTTATCTTATCACCTATATCTAGCTCATTAATAATAATACTATCAGAGTTGAATTTAATTATGTCAAATTCTTTGATCCAGTCTTGATTACATAAAGGTGGTCCTTTCCCTTCCAAAACTTAAAAATCTAAATATTTAATCGTATTAAAATATTTAACCTTACAATTACTTACTTGACCGATGACTGTGATCGGTGATCCTTCATATGAGAATAATTTTCTCGAACAACTTTTCAACTCAACATCTTCATAATTGGTCAGCTTTTCAAAATCTTTGATGGGCAAGGATGTCACTGGAGAACCAGTATCTATCATAAAAGAAAAATTTAGATTATTAAGTTGTATGTCAATCATAAAATCATTAATAAAGTTAATCTTATTTCTTGGTCTAAGATTGTAAGGTGTTTGTATTATCTCTTGTTTTTTGCAAATGTTGTTGTTTGCCTTAAAAACCTGCTTGTTATCTTTCCACGACGAACAACCTCGACAATCTGCACCATCATTTCTTCTCCATTAATCGTTTTCTACAAAAATTTTATTATTATTTATTTCCATAGATTGAAATTTGACAACAATGTCCTCAATGATATTAAGTTCTGTTGTGTTCTCTTGAATCAATCTTGTTTTTAGTTTTTCATTTCGACAATTAATAATAAACTGAATAGCTATTAATTCCGCATTGAGCCCAGCACCACAACCCTTAAGTCTGTCAAGATATTCTATCGAAGATTCAAGTCTGTCAGGCTTAGCATTGAACAATTCAAAAATACGCGTAATTTTGTTTTTTTTCAACTTTCTTTTGTATTTCATTTATTGATATGATAAATTATCAATGTTATCCCTGATACTCGTAGCCATCTCTTTGTCCAATGTTTCGAATAGTTTATATTTTTTTATAGTTTCATCTACAATATTCTCCGCAAGAAATTTT